ATAAATGAAGGACATTGCAATAAGCCATGTACTCATATTATTTCATCTTGTTGGAAATGTGAAATGTTCATATATCTGTTGAGTGAGTTTAGTTTCACGCCACACTCAGCAATATTTTCAGTTGTATGGCAGTGGTCTGTAACAATCAGTTGGACCAGACAATCCAGTGCTCAACTGCATGAGCATCGATCTATGCAATTTGATTCCATGACATGTGATCCGGTTAGAATAAGACTCTCGAAGAGGCGCAGTAACAGGATCGCGGTGGTCAGACTCGCTGACTTAGTAGAGACATGTCATCATATCCCATTTGCGTAGATTGATGCTCATGCTGTTGATCACTGGATTGTCTGGTCCAGACTTGATTATTTACAGACCGCCACCATATAGCTTTCGAATACTGCGCGCATTAAACAACAACCAAAAACAAAACAAAACCCAAGTTAGCCTTTGCCCTCTATGGGTATATTTGTTCTGTGGATAAATTCGAAGCATGCCCATCATGTATGTGACAGGATACACTACCCTGCAGGTCAAAATCCTGCATGTCTCCAGCGGCCGGTATTCATTTTAAAGGTTGTCCTATTTCCTTGTAACAAGCAAACTGTAATTGCTTATGGATAAAAAAACTGAAAAGAACGCAATAAATCATGTAAACTACTTAGTCGTGTAATTTTTTTTGCGAGACATGATGCTCCATTGTTAATTGTATATGTCACTAGAAGAGGCAATCCATGTCCATGTTTGTTTGTTAAGCACGATGTACTTTAAGGGTTTTGATTTATATCCATTTTTTGTCAAAATGAGTTTGTGCTTATTTATCAAACCGCTAAAGCAATGAAAGTCACTCAACTCTAAAGTGTTCGCTTTTATGAGCATTTGTTCAAGTACTGTAGTCGCTGTTTCAAGCCTCCTCTGATTCAGTGCAAATGCCCACTGTTACATTTTCTCTTTTCATGCTTTTCTGCACAGTGGGAAAGTTTTCTTTAGTAGGCCTGGAATGGCATAGCACTATGATGGTGTTGTGGATAGTCTCTGGAGGTCAGGCTCGCTGTTATTTGGTTGTTGTGTATGATCTTATCCAAATCGCGTAGATTGATGGCGTGACGTCATTCACTGGATTGTCTGTTCCAGCGTCGATTATAAACTGCTGTCAAATAGTTTGAATATTGTGGAGTATGGCATTTAACAACAAACAAACAAACAAACAAACAAACAAACAGTCATCTCCCATTGACCAAAGACATGAATCAAACAAGCCTGTCACCACTCTCCTCAGTTTGACATTTACACAGACATAATATGTTTTCGTAGATTGCTGCGTACACGAAATATTTCCCCTCGTTGTAACTTCAGTTGTCATAATGTATGGAGATGTTGTGTCAGACAGTTCCTGTGAGAGCCAAGTAGTGTTGCCTTACCTAATGCCTTGTATTGGAGTCACAGCACAAGCCATTTCATATGTAATGTCACCTGCAAATGTCCTTGCCATGAATGACAGGGGATATACTATTTCCCTGCAAAATGTCAAGAAGAGTATCACAGTCATCTATTGCAGTGATCATTTTACAAAGGTCAAAGCACAATCACATTCAGGCTATCGTATACTATTTGTGCTGGATAGTCTTTCAGTTATTGCTCTTTGTGTTTTGTGCTAGAGCTCATATTTTCTCTGTGCGAGTAGTAAAGGAAGAAGTAAGATTCAAGGATGTTTCCCAAAAAATATTTTTGGCTTCATGTTGAGTGATATTCTAGCAGCTCTGCCTTTATAGTCTGTTTGCAGTGAAAACGTACAGGTGAATTTCACTTTAAACAAAAATGTAAATTGAATAAAGTGAAATTAAGATTGCGAATCCTCATAATTCTACCTTGCCAATTGAAAATTTAAGTCTTAGATTTTTATTCTACGTCATGTTTCAAATCGCTTATATTGGTTTGTATTACAAGGGGGTAAGCGTAGTAGTTGGAACAGTGAAAAAAATGCACATGCGGTACGTGACGAGTGTTAACGTAGACCAACTCTCCTTGTTCTCGGGGTTTGATTTAATGTGCATACCCCCTTGTAATACAAACCAATAATACCAATTTGAAACTATGATCGTTTGTTAAACAACTCGTATCCTAAACTGAATAAAATTCTGAGATTTAAATTTTTATATGGCAAGGTAAAATTATGAGGATTCGCAATTTTAATTTCACTTTATTTGATTTAATTTTTTGTTTAGAGTGAAATTCATCGGTACGTTTTCACTGCAAACAAACTATAGTGTCAACAATGTGCTACATGTGAGGTACAACCGAGCCTGCACTTACTGTGAGAGATTCTTCTTTGTCTCTTGTTTAAAAGATGCTTGGTGAGGATTACAACAACAGTCTGGGAGGACTTTGATGTGGTTTGCTGTGAAGAGTTGTGTCCCTTAGTTGTGCCAGAATCCTATAACTGGCCCGCCCTGATTGTTTCTGGTATTCAGACATTCCTATTTTTCTGAATCCAATAATATCAGCCGCTTATTGATTGTTATGGTACACAAGTTATCAGTAGTTGTCATGAAAGCATCCTGATTGTAATTAATGGAAGTAGTTTTGAGGGTAACAGAACATTACTGTCTACAATTTAGATAGATGATGCCATTATATATTAGTCAACAGTGTTTATGATTATTCATAGCTATAACTATGGAACATTAGCAGCATATTTCCAATAATAAGAATTCCGATAATGGTATTGATGGTATTTAGTGACAGCAATGTTGTACTCTGCGATATGATATGGCCATGCATTGTGAACAAAGTTATGATGATTGAATCAAGGTGTTGTATTTGAATCAGCATTATCTTCCTACAGCTTATCAATTTGAACAAGTCACGCTGAAGGCCTGGGTTCGATTCCCCACATGGGTACAATGTGTGAAGCCCATTTCTGGTGTCCCCCACCGTGATATTGCTGGAATATTGCTAAAGCGGCGTTAAACCATACTCACTCACTCACTAAATTTGAACAAACCTCCGCAATTGATTGAAAGAACTAATAATATTCTTTCCAAGAAAAATATGTATTTTTTTAAATTTGTGTCACAAGAAATTCCTATTGAATCAACTGTATCAACTTTTGAAATGAAAGTGTGCAGAAAGAATCATTTTGATCTATCTTACGATTAAGTTAATTTTAACAAGCCTGGCTAACTTTTATGCAGTTGTTATTTTCAATACATGCAATATCAATTTCCCCCCTGGAACCCACACACATGCACCCCCACCCCACTCACCACAATACATATGTTGTATGTTACAATACAATGCAATGGCTCATACAATACAGAATGCGATGTGTCTTAAATGTGAATGTCAATTCCAACTTCCTCTCACCTCGGCTGTCAGCTTCGTCATTTTTGAGGTGGCCGATTTTGTCTCTGGCATCTCTGGTATGGATTAATAGTTAGAGACATGATGGCTCAGCATTTGTCTGGTCCAATTAGCCCAATTAGACATTGCAGTCTGTCGCAATTAAGTCATTTTCCTGACATATCACAAAGTAGATTCAGTCTTCAACTGCATGCGTTGCTGTGGCCTCGAGCACTCGATCAGTTCCTGGGTTTCGCCAAAGTAGTGAATATTGCTACCATGGTGTAGTGGGTAGAGTGGCTGTCCGGAGTGAGTGAGTGAGCCTCACTCGGCAATATTCCAGCTATGTGGCAGCGGCCTGTAAATAATTGAGTCTGGACCAGACAATCCAGTGATCAACAGCATGAGCATCATTCTACCCAGTTGGGATACGATATGTGTCAAGCAAGCCAGCGAGCCTGACCACCGATTCCATTTGTCGCCTCTTATAATAAGCATGGGTTGCAGGAGATCAATTCTAAACCAGTTCTTCATGGGGCAGCTGTCCAAGAGTTAAATATCAGTGTGTCATGTCTTACTTGATATGAAATGTTAAGGTACTTGTTGATTCCCTGCCTTGTTTTAGCATCGATGTTCTGGTTGGCTGATCGGTATACCATGTCCTGAGTGAGGTATCTGTATTAACATGTAAAATATCAGCTCACTGTGCTAGTTCAGCAGGGGCGGATGCAGCTTTTTGAGAAAGGGGGGTGCACACTCTAGAGAAAGGGGGGTGCACACTTCATTTTCATGAGAGTTTCCATGGTCATTTAATAAACTTTCAGGACAAAAATGGGTGTGCGCACCCCTGTACCCCCCATCTGGATCTCTCTATGGTCAGACGAGTACATGAAACCACAAACTGATACTTTTTATCCCCCCGGCTTGTAATGTGGGGCGATATAGTCAATGCCTTGTCCGTCCGTCCGTAAACATTTTGTTTCCAGAGCATAACTAAAAAACCGTTCAATATATTTCAACAAAAATTGGTAGATATATCAAACAGAACCTAAGGTGGTGCCTTTTGCTATTTACGGATTTTTGTCATTTTTATTTTTCTCGGTTTCCATGGAAACGATTGAACTTCGTCTCCAAAGGGAGGGATGGGCTTGGTCTTAAAATGAGGGTGATCTTCGTTTCCGGAGCACAACTCGAAAACCGTTCAATATCTTTCTTCAACACTTGGTAGATATATCAAACAGAACCTAAAGTGGTACCTTTTGCTTTTTGCAGTTTTTTGTCATTTTTATTTTTATTGGTTTCCATGGAAACGTTTTGGACTTAGTCTCAAAAGGGAGGGATGGGCTTTGTTTCCAGAGCACAACTCGAAAACTTCTTAATATCTTTCAGCAAAACTTGGCAGATTTATGAGTCAGATTTTGAAGTGGTGCACATATACACATTTTTGGCATTTATATTTTTCATGATTTCCATGGAAACGATTTGGACTTAGTCTAAAAAGACATCAAGCTGGACTTTAATTAACTGTCAGATGATGATTTGTTCTTTCAAATATGTGGGGGCCGGGGGGATATGTCATCTTCTGATGACTCTTGTTTAAAATGGCTGCCATGGCTACAAAAGTTACAGCACTATCTGATGTCTGTGTTTCCATTCCAGAAACTTTCCGAGCTGCAGCAGAAGCAGGTCCAAACGACATCCTGAAGTTATACAATACGCGTGGAAACCTCATCAACATTTCACCGGCGCTGGCGGAAAATACGCCGGACACGCGGTACAAGCTGGAAGTAGTTGCGTCACACTGTACGGGTAAATGGACTTCTCCTTGTTAAACTTCGTTCTTCCTACGTGGCACGATCGGATTCATTGCATGCTACTAGAATGTTTTGAAAAAAAAGATTATTTCCTCATTTTCTTTGTCTCTGTTTCTAAGGATGCTTTGTGAGATGTTTAATTAGGTTTTATTTCTTAGAGGTGGTACGAGTTTATTGGTGCTGAAGTGAGAGTGTATTGATGCTGAAGTATTAGGTGTTTTATATTATGGCCCTTGGTTCAATGTTCTTCTGACCGGTTACGTGGAAAAAAATTAGATACCAGTTACAAGGTTTCTTCTAATGACTATTTGCTTGATTATCCCACTGTTTAAGAAGCATGACGAAGCTTGACCCTGATTGGCCCAGATTATGCTCTATTGATCACTTCATCATCGGGTGGGGTAGCCCAATAGTCATGCTGAAGACCCGGGTTCGATTCTCCACATGGGTACAATGTGTGAAGACCATTTCTGATGTCCCCTGATGTTGCTGGAATATTGATATAAGTGGCGTAAAGTTATGCTCACTCACTCACTCAGTGAACCTTCACTGGTCTCTTTCAGTATCTGTGAATGCAGACTGACCAACTTCTGTGGTTAAATGTATAGAGTGGTGTGACTAGAGTGTGGATGGGTGCTTGTAAGACCTTCTGGCTGCATCATACAAGACATGTTGAAAGATGGTGTGTGTAATGTTGTTTTGCCAGATTTTCTGTAATGGAATAAAACGATGACTGTGTCGGTATACTGTGTCCAAATTGTAGTGGTGTTCCGATGATCGAAAATAATCGAAAATCGATCGAAAGAAGGATTAAAAATGATTATCGATTGTAAAAAAACATATTTTCGATTAAACTGAATTTTGTCGTTTTAGTATTACACACCTGAATGAAGTAAACTAAGCAATAAATTTGACAAATATTCACAGGTGATGAGCTTTGACTAGGGTATTAAAATTTTAAATCAGTAAAATAACAAACATCTGCTGATTGAATAAAGTCTTATGAGGAAGATTTATGCTATCATGTTTTTTGATTTGAATGAAGGACCAGTGTGCCTTTTTGTTCGGGAATTTGGGTGAATGTCAAGCCCTGCAGTTCAACAATTAAAGTTTGAATCTGTTATCTAGTTATGTAATTAATGTTTTCTGTTTGAATCTATAGCCATACCATACCTGAATACTGATGTTTGAAGGTGGTTGTGTGAGAGCCTAGTGGTCACAATGTTCACTTGTCACACCGAAGACCCGGGTTTGATTCCCCACATGGGTACAGTGTGTGAAGCCCATTCCTGCTGTCCCCCGCTGTGATATTGCTGGAATATTGCTAAAAGCAGTGTAAAACCAACCTCACTCACTCACTTATGTTTGAAGCCCCATATTGGTGTCCACTGGTATGATATTTCTCCACTGTGTCTTCAGGGGCGGTGGGGTAGGCTAGTGGTTAAAGCTCTGGCTCGGCCGTCCGAAGATCCGGTTCAATTCGCCACATGGGCACAATGTGTGAAGCCCATTTCTGGTGGCCCCTGCTGTGATATTGCTGAATATTGCTAAAAGCCGGGCGTAAAACTAAACTCAGTCAGTCCATCAGTCACTGTGTCTTCAAGCAGTGTAGAACCATTCTCTCATCTATCCAACGCTGCTTTGTGTGGTAAGGGGTGACTATTCTTATCATATGTGGGGACTAACAGGATCAATTTCTCAGACTTGCTGACTTGGTTGATTTGTGTCATTGTATCCAAAATATCACTGGTTTCATTATCACTCGCTTGATTATGTACGGAACACCTATTATATGACTAAAATGTCAATGACTGCAGCAGCAAACGAACAAACAAACAAATCCAAATAATCCCAGTGATCTCTCCAGCCAGCTATGAATTATTTTGGAAACCTTGCATTGATTGTCTCAGCAATGAGTTGTCTCAGTTGACACATTTTCAACATGGCAACCACGGCAGCCATCTTGAAAAGCCTTTGAAACCATTTCCTGTCTATTTCTTCATGTATCACATGTGTTTATCACCTGATGCTAAACTGTTTAAGCAGAGGATGGTGTAATAAACAGCTTCCAGGACTCCACACTCTAGCTGTTGCCATGGCGGCTATACCTATACAGCTTAACTTGACCCTTTAATATTCAAGCTCTTTGTATTCTGTTCAAATTTTACACAGTGATATTGTTGTGTAGTGTTCACTTCTGTCTTTTTAAGTGCATGACTTTAATTTCAACCTTGATATCCTTATCCTTTGAACTGGCATTTTCCCAGGTCAGCGCAGTTGTTTTTGAGTTTGAAATTTGGAAAATATATTTTGTATCTAAGTGAAAAATGCAGTTTGTCGAATGACGAGGAACATGTATTCCGAGATCGCTCTTTTATCAGCGATCGCTGTGTGCTTTATCATTTTGCATACATCATGGCTGTCGGGGATGTTGACAGATGGCTGCAACTAAGGAAATGGGGCAATTTATCTGTGTTTAATTTTCACTGGTTTCTTGGCTTTTACAAAACATCATTCAGGTGTTTTTCATTCAGGTGTTTTTCATTCAGAATTGATCTAATTCCAAAATGACGGTCCTGATCAGTGGAATAAATCTAAGTTGACATTCCTGATAACAGACAATTTTTGGGTGACATTATGAATCAAATATTTTTATGAGGTGTCTGGTTGTACTGACATGCACAAACACTGCTGATAAGTCTGTTTAATTCCTGCTTTATGGATATGTAAAATATTTACAAAAATATTAGTCATTCAAAATGCAGTTTCAGTATGAGAAGAGTGGAAAAATACAGATTGGTCTTCTTTCCTGATGTTGGTTTTGAATTTGTTGAAACGAGACTAATGTTTTTGTTGTCTCCAGGTTAAAATTGGTCTTCAGCAACCCATGCTTGTCATAAGATGCTACAAGCAAGGTCAGGTGGTTAGGCTCGCTGACTTGGTTGACACGCGGTATGTCATTGTATCCTCAACTACTTAGATCAAGGCTCACGGTCTTTGAATGGCATTTAGAAGTGATACACATGAGGATTAGAGAGTTTTTGGGATGTCATCATCATTCACCTGATGAAGGAGTAAATATATAATTCAAAATGTTGCGCTCCTCATAATAAAGAAGTTCACATCCATAAAAGCTCTTCGCTTTAGACCGGCCTCGCGGGTGTAGTGCGTTAGAGCGCCCGCCCGAGAGCGGAAGGTCGCTGGTTCGATCCCCCGCATCGCCATACCAAAAAGACGCGAAATATGGTACTTGTTGGTCCCTGTCTGGCGCCGCATTAATGGGTACAACAAGGACTGGTTGGCTCGGAGTCAGTATAATGTGTCTGAGTGGGGTATTCATGCTTCACTGCGCATGGTATCTCAGTGAGCTAGCACTATAAACCCAGCTTCAGTCTGGGCTAGTACAAGCAGCCGCGACATACGCATACACACGATGCATCGCCGCCATATGAGCCAAATATTCTCAAGCACGACGCTAAACCCAATTTCACCTCACGCCATCTCTTTCTATTATGCTCATGGTATTGATAACTGGATTGTCTGGTCCAGACTTGATTATTTACAGACTGCTGCCATATAGCTGGAATATTGCTGAGTGTGGCGCTAAACACCAAAACAAAACAAAGCATTGATGAGATTATGGCAGTAGATGTGTCTCTGGTTGTGACAATGATCGAATGTGCAAGACTGAAAACTTATGGTAAAATGACATGCATTTGTGTCATGTTTTTATTGGTCACAGCAAATGATAACCCTGGGACCACCCACACACCATCGTGACTCAACAAGCATCCTGTGTGTTTTATCATGAAAAATCTAAACATGTGTTTTCAAACTTCCATATCCTGAAACAACATGATACGTTACAAAATGTTTGATAGCCTTTTAGAATTTACGATTGATTAAAGCAAAATATTTACAGTTGATAGGTTAATGCTGGACAAAAATTATTTACTTTACCCTGACTTAATGATAAAATAAAAAATATGTAACAGTTTCCCTTAGAACACACTATTCAGAAAATTTGAATTGTAAAATTATATTTACTTCATGAGTAAATTTTTTATCTTTTTAATTTTTATTCAAATTAACTTAAGATCAACATAAAGCATTTCAGAAACAATTCCACCCACATCTTAGAATATTATTATGAAAGGGGTTATCTGAATATAAAATTCAAAAAGTGAATGTAGTTTTATGTAACTGTAAATGTTTTGATATCTCAAACAAACCGTGAGTAAACAGCATATAAAATATGTAAAATAACTACACTAAAATTGGTCCTGGCCTAAAAATAGGAACGGTAAGCTGTTAACACAGGCTGATCTGTCCAACAAATATGGCATGATTGGTCAGTAGTATAAGATGTAAAACTATGTAAAAATACACTGAAATTGGCCCGCCTAAAATAAGAATAGTAAGCCATCAACACAAACTTGGTGTGAGTTGTCAGTAGTAAAAAAAGCTATGAAAAAAATACAGTAAAATTGGCCTGCGCCTAAAATAAGAACGGTAAGTCGCCAACACAAACTTGACGGAGTGGTCAGTCTACCTTTGATGGTCCCTGGGAAGTTGTCTCGACCGGGTGAGGTGATGAGAAAACAGTAGATGACAGAATGTGAAATATCTCCGCTAATCCTGTCTGAGCAGCATGCTAGCTGAGGCCATTAATCTTCCAATCACTTTCAATGAACAATCCATAAGCAATTCCTGCTATAGCTTCAGACATTGGTCTCTGTACCAAGATGGATGTTTATGGTAAGACCCTGTTAAAACCAGAGGCTCTAATTTCATCACTACTGGCTGGATAGATGGTTTTTTTTGCCAACCTGGAATAACATAAATATTCATTTTGGGAATGTGTCGACTTCAAATGCCTTACCTGAGTTCTTAATTATTTTTGTGGTCATGAGTGTTATTGATTTTCAAATTAAAACTTCCAGATGTATTAGGGCTGTGGGTGGCCTAGTGGTTGAAGCGTTCGCTTGTCATGCT